TTATTACACTGATTTTAGAATGAGCACAGCTATTATAATTATAGTTTACCAAACACTCAGTTGCTTTTTATAACAGCTGTTTTTTCTTTTAGCACAGCTAAAAATAATTTTTCTAAAATCTACAATAATACCAGACTAAGCCATGGTCGATTCAAATAATTTATTGTAGAGTAGTTGTTTAAAGAGCCGTATGAGTGCTTGATTGTCTGCATGTCTGTTCAGCCTTCCTTTGTTGAAGCTTGGTGCATGTTTTATCCCTTTGGACGTTTCATTAGAACTTACTGGTGGTATCAGTCATGAATCGGGATTAAGTTTTGTTGTAATGCAAAGTCATTTGTTGCAGCATTAGTGTTTGTATCTCATTGATTTGTGATACATTTGCTTTACAAAAAAATTTAAAGCATTGTTAAATATGCATGTGGGCGTGTCAACAAGCCCCAAAAAAGGAACATTTAGTGATAGTTTGTGCAAGTATTGTTGATAAATGCACCACATAATACGAATTTTTCCTCGAGAACTGTCATCTTACAGAGAGCATTTAATGACGAAACTACAGTTAAATGTGCCTCCATAACCCAAAAAAAAAAAAAAAATTGCTCTTCCTACAAATAGAGGAGAATCACTCCATTTGAAGCCTTGAAGGGGACCATAGGCCGCTTTTTATTCTTTTGCAAGAAGAGAATAACTCTAATCGTGAAGTACAAGTGACCTGTGAATGTACGGTTAATTAATATATAATCAAACCAATTTAAAGAATGTTCTTGTATTTGTTTTTAATATCTTATTTTTCAAGCATTTATTCCCCACGTGAGCATTAATTTCTCATATTCTTCCCACACATTACTTTGTCAACTTTGAGCAGTTATAATTTAAGTTGTTTATGTGAGAGAAAAATATTATAACAAAAAAAGTTAAATTTAAATTTTTATAAAAAAAAAATATTGTAACAATAATATTTGAGTTATGATTTGAGTTGTAAAATAAATAAGGCATATGTGCACATGGATTTGATTAGAGAAAAGAAAACACATTTTTTTATAAAAAATTGACTATATGGAGATATCCACTATTGATATGATAATTCCTTTTCTATCCTCCTATAGAATCGCTTCCTAATTTGGGTGGACGAAATTTGTCGAGGTCTACTGAATTAGGTAAATATTGGAAACTAATGAACATTACATAATATCAATAGAGGTATAAAAAATGATTCTTTAGACATACGTGTATATATACCTATCTATATCTATAGTCTATATGAGAAGGGATATAATAGCTCTTAAAAAATTTTGTACTTCGCCTTACTCGCTTGCTAGGTTAGTTTTGATTTGGTTGTTTTTTTTCTTCTTTTCTTTTCCTTTTCCTTCTTTTGGTGATTTAGCGAGGTTTTTTAATTTTTTAATTTTGTACTTTAAAATGTTCCGACTATATATTTTTCAAATTTATCCTTTAAAATTGATCTTTTTCTAAATATGTTTCTACTTAAATTTTTTTAATGGTCTCTTCATTAATAGAGTGAACCACTATAAACTTCGTATATCCAGTTATTTAGGCATTACATTCATATTTCCTTCACCACAAAGTTTACTCAAACATTTCGCAAGCGTAATTTCGAATATACACCCATATTAGGCTGGTAACCCTACAAGATACCAAGGGGTAACTCGGCGTAATCCTGTTGATGAAATTCCACCGTCAACACGTGTATCAATACCTATCTATTTCTATAGTCTATATGAGAAGGGATATAATAGCTTTTAAAAAATTTTGCCTTGCTCGCTTGGTAGGTTAGTTTTGATTTTGTTGTTTTTTTTTTCTTTTCCTTCTTTAGGTGAGTTAGCGAGGTTTTTTTATTTTTTAATTTTGTACTTTAAAATGTTCCGACTATATGTTTTTCAAATTTATCCTTTAAAATTGATCTTTTTTCTAAATATGTTTCTACTTAAATTTTTTTAATGGTCTTTTAAAATGTTATTTTCTCAAATACGACCATAATAAAAAAATTTATAACAAATTAATTAATTGCCCCACTGAAATAATTTTTCTTAAAAATTTCCCAATTTCTTATACGGATTTATATTCACAAATTGATCTGATGGTTAATAGTTCTAATTACCATAGAAATTCCTATTAGATTTTTGTAAAAGAGAGAATGTTAGAAAAACAATATTTATGTTACTAACGGGGACAAGTCTTATGTAACAAGCACAAAAACATACACACTTTATTCTTTCTTTCTTTTGTTCGGGTTTTCTTCCTTCTGCGATTAAGCGAAGCAAAAAATAAATAAATAAAATAAATTGAGCAACAGAAACTTTACTCACTTTAAAATAAGTGGAAATTATAATTAATTAAGCTGCTTTTAACTCGTTGAATATTCCACAAAGTGCATTAGTTAAAGGTAAGTGTCTCTTTTGGCTGAGGTGATGATCTCTTATGTCATTTTTGCGACAAGAACTTTATAATCTCCTAGTGCTTGATAGCATCTTAATTTAAAGAGTCCAACTTTAACCATAGAATAATATATAGAAAAGTGATCACTTTTCTGAAAGTTTGATTATATTAAAAGAGCTAGATCTATGTTCATAAAAGTGTTACCATACTAGTAGATATGATAAACAATTCTCTAATAATTTGACCCCAACATTTGTTGGGAGAGCTAGCTAGCACTAAGCGTTGTAATCGAAAAATATTGGAAATTATGATGTTCATTTTATCAAATTTTTCAAGTTTACTCGGCCTGTTCACTTCGCTGATTTGAGTTTGTAATTCGAGTTGATATGTGATTTTATGTGAGAACTTTTTACCGTAGAAAAAAAGTTAGACGTAACTGTTTCTGAGAACTTTTTACTGTAGCAAAACTCAAATTTTAAACTCGAATCAGTGAAGTGAACGGGATCTCGGTGCGAAAGTAGACAATTCTATTTCAAGTGTTTGAATACAAGTACCAAAAGACTTTTTACGAATTCACCAACTAGCTACCAGCAAAATAATTAGAAATCAATCTGCCCATGTTAAAAAAAACAAAAAAAAAAAACAAAAAAAAAGGTCACATTACTGAATGTCCATGTCTTGAAGGTTTTTGATGGTAAGTACGAAGATAGCTTCTCTCAAACAAATAAAGGTGTTCTTGGTGTCCACTCATCCACTACCCTAGCTAGTTGGCTGGCATATTATTAAGAATATATACCTTTATATAGTGTGCTTTTTTCCCGTTTATTTCTAAATTTTTTATTTATTATGCTAATTGATCTTACTCCAATATCAATGTTTTCAATATTTCATTACAACGCCCTAATTACATATAAGGGATATAGCTGTAAAAATCATATAATAAAATCAAACAAATAAAAACGTGTAAGATTTATAATAATTCACTCTCGTGTCAACTTTCAATGGTTGTAGTTTAATTTACTATAATGAAGAAGTTTACGATAAAAAATAACGCACCTCTCAATTTAATTTATGTATTTTCTTCTCGAACATTGATCGACATATTATCTATGCGTAAAATAATAATCGTCAGGATAATAATTAGACTACATAATTTAATATCTCGTAAGCATTCCACTCGATCAATAGAAGCCTAGTGGCACTTCTCAAACTATTGTGCCATTCAAAGAGACTTTTTTTTTTATATCTTTATCAAATTATACTCATGAATTAAATTGTCATGATCCATTAAAACTGTAGCATAATGGTGTTATATATATATATATATATATATATGGATATATTGTCTTTGTTTATTGGGTAATGATTCTTGGGTGACGATCCTGAAAAGTAGAGAATGAAATCGTGCGCATTATTAAATGAAAAGCGTGTCGTTCTGAAACGAGAAACTTAAGACAAAATAGAAATATAAGAGTGAAGTGTTAAAATGCCCCTCGTGCACTTTCTGAAAAGGCCTCTATAAACAAAACAGATAAAAGAAGTATTCAAAAAGGACGCCTCAATGTGGGTATAGCGTCGGATTCACGTAGCTTTAAACGCATTTGCTCTTTCCATTGCGCTTCACCCTCTCACTATTCTCTTTCTAAAATCTCGTTCAATTCGCGGATTCGAATTTTCAATTCGAGTTAAAATGTAATTTTATGTGAGAACTTTTCACTGTAACAGAAAAAGTTAGATGTGACTTTTTATGAGAGTTTTTAACTGTAGCAAAACTGAAATTAAAAACTCGAATTCGTAAAATGAACGTGGCCTAACTATATTCTACGTAATTCTCTCTCTCTCTAAATATACAAGATTAGCATATACAGCAAGAATTTCGTACAAGAACATAGAAAGAAAAATGTCATTCTCTCTCTCTCTCTCTCTAATATTTAAGAACTTCATATATAGAAAGACAATTATTGGACAATTAACATATTATACCAATTTTAAGCGCCAAATTTACAAAGTTGATTACATAATTAGTAAGTAATTATTTTGTATAGATGAAACTCTCAATTAAAATACAAATTGTCTGATAAACATATGCAGTAATTAAGAGGTGATCACAATACAATAAAATGATAGACAAAGGTTCATAAATTAAATAACATAGTTGAAAGTCAACTTAATACAAACCTTAAATCCATAGTTTCGTATGTAAATATATCAACACCAAAAATAACTTTTAGGTGGATCGAACTTCTTTTAAACTCCAAAAAAGATTGTTATCTATATAAATTTTGGTATACCAGTTAATTAGTAGTGTCCCATGCATACTAAAATGGTTTGCACTAACCAACATAACAACTTTTGAGTCACACATTTTTCAAAAATCCTATTACATTCGAAATATATTGTCACGTCATTTGTTGTCTAGAAGTACTCCAATATCTCCGTTTATCTGTCTAATGTTTCTCTTTTCATTCTCTCTAAAAACAAGTCCTAATTGATGACAATAAGAGCTATCTAGCTTTAGTAATAGTGGTAGGGACACAATTTGAGTAGGCCTAGTGGCATATATATATAGCCATATATATAGGGAACAAATACCGACGACTCAGAGAGCTAAAGAAGACTTGTGAGGATAGTATCATATTCATATTCTTGATCTTGTTTGTGCAAATGTGCTCAGAATTTCTGATTCCTTATTAGGGAATTCGATTCTGATTTTGTCGATCGTTTGGTTTTTGCTATATGTACACATATTTATACTACATATATATGTATATATGTGTGTGTGTATATATATATGTCCGATCAAGAGCTGTTTCCTTGCTATAGCTGCAGTTTTATTATCATCACCAACAAGCCCCATTGAATTCAGCTGTCCCTGCGTTTGAGTTATATTCTTCGCCAGTTTTCTCGGTAAGACTTTTCCCATTCCCTCTTCAAATTATGACTAGTTATATGCATTTGTTTATTACACCTTTAATTTGATTATTTATATACTAAACTTGTAATTAGTATATATATATATATATATATATTACCCTAAGCTAGTTAGCTAGTTCGTCATCAAGTTTCTATATTCATATTCTTTATGCGAACTAAGTCCGGCTCTAGGCTTGAATGTGGGGGTTCTTTCGTTGACAAAAGGTTGTCTTTATTTGTTTGTTTTTTGTTTTTTTTGTTGTTTTGTGTTTGTGCTTGTTCTGTATTACGTGATTCAGCAAAAAACATAAAACTTCACTTTGAATCTTTATCGATGCTGGCCCGTTCGGTTCGCTAATTCGAGTTTTTAATTCGAGTTAAGATGTGATGTTGTGTGAGAACTTTTTACTGTAATAAAAAAATTAGATGTGACTATTTCTGAGAGCTTTTTACTGTAGCAAAACTCGAATTCTAAACTCGAATCAGCGAAAAGAACAGGGATTTTTCGATACGCTCTTAGTGATAATTGTACGTGATTATCACTAATTATGCTTATTATGACCATTCCCTCGGATTTTGAAAGGCTAGGTAGGCATTTGTATATGTATATTATAGACTGTAAACTTGGGCGCTATTAGTATATATATGTATAGTCTAATAACTCCTATGTACAAATATAATTATCATCTAATCAGTGAGCGCATCAGCAAGCTGGCTACCCAGCCTAATTTCCTTCCTCCTTTTGGGTTTGCTAAGAGGTGGGATTTTTTTTAATACGATTATAGCTCTCGTTTTATTTAAAACAAACAAAAAAAAAAAACCAGTTTTTTAATATGATTATAGCTCTCATTTTATTTTTAAAAAAAAGTTCGTCCCTAATTCTGAATCATGATTCATTATTTTCTACAGTATTTTTTTCTCACAAAAAATACACGTAAAACGAAAATAATTATGAATCATGATTCTAAATCACTAAATAATTAAAAAACGTGAGAGTAATGGCCTACCAAAAAGTGCACCTCTTGAAATAAACTATGTATATTCTTATGGAAGTGGCCTGGGCACTTAAGGTAGCAAGCCTAAATGGGCTTTGTCAATTATTTCTTTCCCACACTTTACACTACTTTATGAGACAATTATTACTCCATATCACTAGTTTCTTAGGACTTAATACTTGTTTTACTACTCTTTTTCTCATCTAATCATGTGTTTATTTATAAAATTATGAGCAGATCTTATATAATACAGTGAATGAATAAAATAAAATATCAATCTTTACATTCCTAGATAAAGGACCTTAATAAATACAATGATAAAATTCTCATTTTTAAGTTTAGTAAACACTAAAAAAAAGAAGTCAATTGTTTTTTCAAGCATTAGAAGCGACATTAATGATCTTCATTCTTATTTATAATAGAATCAATGATTTTGATTCTTGTTCGTTTATTTTCTTTCTCAATCTCATTATTTTTCTATTATTTCTTACAATTTGATAAACGCATTGTTAAGATATGAACTCGGAATATTCATGTATCCAACTTCAAAATAATTGCGTACAATGTACATATCACAATTCTCAGTAAATATATATCATGTTTTATCCACTCCAGACGAGACTTTCAATAGACATATATCTAATCCTAAGTAATATTTAAATTTTAATTTGGTACTTTTGGAATCTATACAAGTGGTCAAATGATATACGTGACTCTGTTTAATTTTGAACGATATCTATGTATGGATCTTCGTTTCTTGGTTTTCCCTTTTTGAATTATGCATATTAAAATAAAGTCCTACAATAATAAATGGCCTTCCGTGCAATGCACTTGAACTATGATGTACTTTGCTATATAAGTACAAGGAGACTCAAATATAAGAAACACTCATTGTAAATTACAAATATTATTATAGAAATTGTTGTATGGGTACTCTATTATAGAAAAAAAAAAAAAAGGATTTTTTTAAAATTTTAAAAATGGGTGTAACAATATGTGAAATGAGGTGATTTAAGAATGTATAAAAAGTAAAATTATGGATACTTTAATTGTGGGGGTTTTTTGAAATTTGTAGAGAGGTGTAACAAGTAGAACGAGAGGTGATTTAAGTATGCGTGTGTGAAAAGTAAGTAAAAATAAAAAAATAAAAAAAAAAGTGTCAATAGATGCACTCTAATTGTATTTGGTAGTGTTTTACTTGTGACATTTTTGTTTTGTTTGGTTTTTTTTTTTAACATTCAACGACACAAATATCACATTAGCTAGAAAATAATAAAGATGGTAATAACAAATAACATAAATAATGACAACTTGCTAGCGTAATAATGACAAAATTAAGATGACTTAGTACTTACAGAGAAATGCTTAGAAATAAGCCTATTTGAGAAGAAAAAAAATATTTGCGTGCATATTATAATTGTTCCATTTATTGGACTTTTTTTATTTTCTTTTATTTTTATGGGACTTTTTTTTTCAAGAAGTTATATATACATATATATATATAAATATTTATAAATAGGACCTGTAAACAATATATATATATATATATATATATATTGATATAAATATGCTCATTTGTGCTTTGATGGGTTTCAATAAGATGCGTATAATGTTGAATGACATTTCCCATATTTATCCGTTACAATTATCTGATATTCCTGAAATTACATAAACGTAATGCCTGACGAACAATTTTATACTGGACAGAAAAATGGAGTAGTAGTTAGCACGCCATAACTAGGGACTAAATTATTTTAATCTAATGTAGATTCATGCAGAATATTAAATTCACACAAAATCTTCTGTTTATTCGATCATATCTATCTAACTAAAATTTTTCATACGTATAAACCTTATCGTGAAGGATTCTAGATGGACCAACAATATCATGATCATCCTCTCAAACAATATATATATATATATATATATATATGTACACACACGCACATATACACAGTGGCGGAACCAACCTTTCACTTCAGTGGGGGCGTATATTAAATTTTTTTTAACAAATTATCTTAATGAAGGTATATAAAAAATATATATTTATTTTAGTAGTGGCATATATTATTTCAGTAAGAATTTAAGTGTAAAATTTTAAAATTTAAAATTAAAAAAAAAAACTGAGTAGGGACGGCTGTCCCCACTCATCTTCAATCAAGTGGCTCCGCCACTGCATATACATAAACAAGTAATCATAAACATCATGTTTATAGTTTGTCATAAAATGGTTTTTTAACCCAATTTTATGCAATAATGAAGTAGTCCTTACATAATGCATAAATTGTAAATCAACACTTTTGGGATGGACACAATACTCTAGAGCTAATGAAAGCTAAACCAACCTTATATACCAAGAAACTAAAGAGTAAAGCTAATTAAATACCAAGATACTTGCCAATTTTCTCTACACTCTTCCAAATAACAAATCTTTCACCAGGATTCAGAATGGCATCTTAATTCTGTAACTTGTAAAATAACTAATCAGATTGTCGTTCTTTTTTCCTTCAAATTGAATTGGTTTAATAAAAACATGTTCTTCTTTCTTAATGTGTTCTTGATTGTTTGATGTTGACATTGACTAATCGATTGACTTGTTTTGCTTCATTATAAAAACTTTTCAATTGCCTCTATCTTCTGCATAACTTTTCTCAGTTTAGCTTTTCAGACATACTTTGGGCAAAAGGGGGAAGAAAAAAAAAATGAATGCTTTAGTGGCAACCAACAGAAACTTCAAGTTGGCAGCTCGGCTTTTGGGGTTAGATTCCAAGCTTGAGAAGAGTTTACTCATACCATTTAGAGAGATTAAGGTAATTACGATACCATCTAGTTTCTTCAATTTCGATACCATTTTCTACAATTTTTTTTGAAGTTTTTCTTTTCTTTTGACAAACATTTTATATAATTTTGACTCAAAAGAAAAAAAGTGTCTAACTTAGTCATTTGGCAAAACCCTTCAATTATTGTTGTGACGCTATATATTTACAACAAATGACCAATGTTTTAGGATAAAATGATTAATCTAAAATTAAACAAAGCCTTCATACATGGTCTAATTATGCTCTTATCTCGGCATTAATTTCGGATGATCTTGCAGGTCGAATGTACCGTACCGAAAGATGACGGTACTTTGGCGTCGTTCGTCGGCTTCAGGGTCCAACATGACAATGCCAGAGGCCCCATGAAGGGAGGAATCAGATATCATCCAGAGGTTTGCTTATCATGTTCTATTTAAATGCATATAAATAATAAATACAACAGTTCATAATGGTCAATAAAAATGTTTTCTTCAAGATAGAATTCTGATATCAGATAAATAGAAAGAGAAATTTTGTAATTAAATACGATATTGTGTGACGATAAAACTTGTAGGCTTTATTTTTTTTTTTACACAATAGTTGTGTGGATGATGTAGGTTGACCCGGATGAAGTGAATGCTTTAGCACAACTAATGACATGGAAGACAGCAGTAGCAAATATCCCATATGGTGGTGCCAAAGGAGGAATAGGATGTAATCCAGGGGACTTAAGTGCATCTGAACTGGAGCGACTCACCAGAGTTTTCACACAGAAAATACATGATCTGATCGGCATACACACCGATGTTCCTGCCCCGGATATGGGGACGGGTCCACAGGTTGAGTATCAGATCGGATCGGATATTTTCGTTGCCTGCAAAACCTCTTTTCTTTTTTCTTTTTTTTTTTTCTAAATTATTATTTTAGCATTGCATATTGGAGAATGGTTTTGTTACTTAAATGTCAAAGTTTTGGCATTAGCATCAAAATTTGACATTGCATCGGAGATGTTCTAGTTCATAACGTGATTGGCTTGGAAATAGAATTTACTTTTGTTTCTTCCTTGTGTCTGAACAGACTATGGCTTGGATTCTAGATGAATACTCCAAATTTCATGGCTACTCACCTGCAGTGGTGACTGGGAAACCTACTGTAAGTGTATACACACACACACACACACACACACACACACACAAGGGAACAAACACTAGTTATTAATTTATTATGGAAATTGTTGCTTAACCAAGAACAGATCACCATATAGTTCAAGTTGTAACCCTTACAAAGTGTTTGGAAATTTTTATCATGAGAATTTCCTAATTTTTGACTTAGGATCTTGGTGGATCTCTTGGAAGAGATGCAGCTACAGGTAGAGGAGTACTTTTCGCAACCGAAGCATTGCTTAACGAGCACGGGAAAAGCATCGCTGGGCAACGGTTCGTCATACAGGTACTTTACAACGAGCCTTCATTGACATGGATCCTAAGAATGCAACCACACGCTTGTAATGGAAAAAGAACAGGAAACCTAGTAACTCAACTACTAAAATGTCTTTGTGCAAGTAAGTTGCTAGTTAAAATTTAATAAAGCTACAAAAGTATTTTTGTGGCGTGTCTCAATCGTAGGGTTTCGGGAACGTCGGTTCTTGGGCTGCACAGTTGATTCATGAGAACGGTGGCAAGATTGTCGCGGCGAGTGATATCACTGGGGCTGTAAAGAACAGCAAAGGAATTGATCTTCCAGGCCTGCTCAAGCATTCCAAGGAAAATGGCGGTGTCAAGGGATTCAGCGGCGCAGATCAAATAGATCCTGACTCGATATTGGTTGAAGATTGTGACATTCTCATCCCAGCTGCTCTTGGAGGCGTCATAAACAGGTTCTATCAATATCCGATAAATGAGTTGCTCTTTCTTCCAATGGTTTTTTTTGGAATTTTGAATAGTGTGTAAATTGCTGCTCTTTGATTTTCATTGAAGGGAAAATGCAGATGATATAAAAGCCAAATTTATTATCGAAGCCGCTAACCATCCAACTGACCCTGAGGCTGATGCGGTTAGTTTATGCTTGAAAAACACAGTAATAGAATTGGGGATTAAAACAAAAGAAAGGGGGAAAAAAAAAAAACAAAAGAGAGAAAAATGAATAAGGAAAGAAAAGAAAAGAAAATTCTTTAGCAGGGTAAAAGAAAAAATATATCCATGTAGTACTCTTTATTCCTTTAGATGGAATTTGCATAGTTTTATAAAATGATCTGACAATTCCTAACTGTAGAGTATTGATAGAAGATTTGTTTTGTACTCGACCATAAAATTCTCTAAAAAAGAAAAAGAAAAACGTTAAAATCTCGTAATCTGATTTTGCAGATATTGTCAAAGAAAGGCGTGGTAATTCTTCCCGACATATATGCCAACTCGGGAGGGGTTACTGTTAGTTACTTTGAATGGGTTCAGGTAAAAGATTTTCTTGTACTATTTGAAGAATACTATTAGCTAGTCACCTTGAACTAAATAGAATATTTTCTGCTTTTCTGTGCATTTTGCAGAACATTCAAGGATTCATGTGGGATGAGGAAAAGGTGAACAATGAGCTGCGGACTTACATGACCAGAGGGTTCAAAGATGTGAAAGAAATGTGCAAGACCCACAATTGCGATCTCCGAATGGGAGCCTTCACCCTCGGCGTCAATCGCGTTGCAAGAGCAACCGTCCTCAGGGGTTGGGGAGCCTGAGGCAATCTCTTTTCGGAATAAAATATGAAGATCTTTCATGAGTTTCTCTCATTCTATATTAGGATTCTGCTGTCCTGTTCTTTGGATGAGAAGAACATGAAGCAAATGTTCAAATTATTTTTGGTGTTGGCCCTTGGTTTTCTGCCCGAGTTTCATTCATCCAGCGTTTTCTCAAGTTTCATTAGAAACGCGCAGTCCTACATGTCTTTAAAATAATGTTTTGTTCATCAAGGATAATCATACATAAGATCTGAGAGAACATTCAGAAAGAAGAAATTTTGTTGTTTCAAAGGTGAGGCAAGCAAAACCATACTAGCAAAACTGCACTTCCCTAGAAACTACATTTACTTTACATTTCCTTCTTTCTCCTATTGAGATCCAAACTGGTAATTACATATCCCTAAGTACTACAAATTCCCCTGAAAAGCATAAAAAGCATCTACAAGGGAAATCACATCGACTTGTGAACTGAACATTGTAGGACTTTCTAAAGGAAATTAAAGGGTAAATTACACATTCCTTAAACTCACAGACTCGATGAATACTTTCGGCCACATTCAAAGAGCGCTGCTCGTGAGTTCAAAGTGCAGGCCGTTAGCAAAGGTTATCTATCATAACATAACCAAGTAGAGTAGGCCGTTGAAGAGGATTTTGTGTAGACTAAACCATTCTGTCTCACGCATAGATTATTCCCATAACACGCATTAAAAGGTACTGAAAACTATTAAAATGCAACTCCGTTAAGGGTCCAAACTGAATTTGAGACAAAAATTACAATGCAGCGAGAACCAACTACTCAAGTGACGAACAACTTGCGAATATTCAGATCAAAATAAGGTATTCTATTGTAGTGAGCTCTTTGCATCCTTAAATGACAACACAACAAGAGAAGAGCACTAGAAAAATTACACAAAGTTGTTCTAAAATCTCCCTCCTCTGCCCCTAAAGCCACCACCACGGCCACGACCTCTGGATGGGCCACCTCTGCCTCCCCTTGAACCGCCCCTGCCACGAAAACCTCCACCGCCGCGACCAGCACCACCACCTCTGCCTCCACCACGACCTCCGCCTCGAGAAGCACCTTGCCCCCTGCAATATAAACCAGCCGTTAGAATTGTCTTAGAATGAAAAGCTCAAGATAAAAGACATTAAGTGATTGCACCACTAACGATGAAATATAATTTTTCAAATGCTTTACAACTGAAAACATCGACATTTCAACAGTTGAATGGAATTAGGCTAATGGCAGTAGTATAAAAATCCAAACCTATGGTGCGTTAAGTGTCAAGTACGTTCACAAGAAAGATCGGTTCATACTTAACCAAATAATGAAAAGTTTTTATGTTTATCTAATATTTAACTCACTTTGGCTGCGAAAGAAATCTCGCAAGTGGTAAAAGCTTAGCTGGGTCGATATAGAACTTGTCACCCGCCAAATAAGAAGTTGCCACAATGCCTTCCATCATTTTAACTGAAAAATACTGCACTTGCAACTCACAAAAGTCATACCACAAGTTGAGAACAAAGTCACAAACAAAACTTGAGTCCAAGTATTTGGAAACTCCTATATAATGCACAGAAGAAAACTCACAGACTCATTGATGGGGCCAAAGATTTCATCGACTTTCCCTATCTGGGTCTTGTTCTGCAGATAGATTGGCGCATTAAAAAAGGGTATCTTCTCATTTGTGAGCTTTGTTACCGCATCACCCTCGCAGGCATGAAGGAAGGACGAAACCTCTGTAGATTCCTCGCAAAAATCAACAAATTAACAAAATACTCAACTTCACGTCAACAAATTGAAACATAAGCAAACACCAATATATTTTCAGAAATAAAAAAAAATGATTCTGCCCGAAATGTTCCGATATTTCTTGAGATTTTCAATATATTCGTCAAAAGTCTCCCTAAATTTAAAGCAAGAATAATTATTTCATATATACTGATATTTTTATCATTGGACTCCGATGAGCTAATCTAGGCGAAATGCATTCAAATAGACCTAAACTACACTACAACATCGAAAACTAAGAGCCTTGATAATAACTTTAATAGAAACACCCAGCATCCAAACCCAAACTTCGTTGCTTTACTTGTCATTTTCCCGAAAGAAAAACATATAAGCTCTCAAGACTACTTCTCAGTCTCATTATACAATACCGGGATGATAAGGCAACAAAAGACTGGAAACAGAGTGCAATGACTGGAAAAACATTCTCATGTCTTCTTTTCTACAAGGGGATTTTCTTAGCAACCAAACAGAAAGTAAACCAAAAATAAATGTAAAACAATTATAGGAAACGAAAGAAAAAGATACAAACCGACAACTTCTTCGGGAGGTCCCTCATCGCGAAACCCACCGCTACGTCCACCACGGCCTCCACGACCGCCGCCTCTAAAGCCGCCGCCGCTAAAGCCGCCGCCTCCGCTAAAGCCGCCGCCTCCGCGTCCACCACGAAAACCTCCGCCTCTGGGGGCTCGCATGATTGTTGGTTTAAGAGTCGGGAGAGAGAGTTGTGTAGTGAGGATGGTTTTTGGCGATGGCCAAGTTGGGGTGTAGGGTTTAAGATGCTTAACGTTAGGGTTTTCTTCTTGTTCACCCGTTTACGCAAAATGACTAAATGGTCCCTCTCCTTTTCATCATTCCTGTGTGGGTGTGTTTGTTACGTATCTTCCTGTGTGGGTGAGTGTTTGTTATGTATCTTGAGAAAATACACCAAATAACTCCTTTGGTATAAACCTAACAGAGCTTGTGACACTTTTTTAAACGAGAAAAATCATGGTACTCACTTAAAAAAAAATTTACAATTCCTAAACTACCCTCATTAGACCCATTATAGATTCAGAATCATTCTCAATTTACGTGTATTTTTTATGTGAGAAAATACTATAGCGAACTACAAATCATAATTCGAATCATGGCACAAATACGGCAACCAAATGCTAGATTCCCAAGTCTGGATTCGACTAATATCGGCTTACGATCCCGACCGCATGACAAATGTCTAGTCATGTGCAAAACATTGCATACATGAGGCTACTAACCACCGAAGCATAAGGTACCTTCGCCATATATTGTCTTGTTAGGATATATGCCCATAAATCAAATAAGATGTAAATATTTTGCTGATTATCAATGAAATGAGGAATTTTTTCAATATTATTTTGCATACATGTGATGTTTTATAAATATCAAAATCCCTAGATTATTTTTTTATGTAACTTTAAACATTGTATATAATTGTTATATGCAGAGGATAATGTTTGAAATAAAATAATCTAAACTTGTCCGTAATTATAAATTAAAGTTGGGATCTTTAATTTAAAATTACTAATGCGGTTCATTACATTCTGAATGAAACAATCTTATCCTAGATTGTTAATAATGAGATTATTGGAATGAAAGCATTTTATGTAATATGATTACATAGGACCGGAACGCGATTAATTATGAATCTCTAATAAATTCTGTTATTAAATAGAGTATTCAATGTTAATCAATGATGGTCATATATATATTAATCTTAATTCTGAGTAATTAATAAACTCCTATTTATGATATTATGTTTTTTGACATATTAAGTAATGACACATGTGAATAGTGTCAAAGTCTTGGTATATTGGGAGCATAGTAAAATAAATAGCCGGGAATATTAATTTACAAGATGAAATCCATTCCTTCATAATGAAGTAGATGAACGGTTCCCATAAGTGTTGATTCGGGAATTGAATAATAAGAGCGCTCAATTTTATGATTGGATCATAAAATAGATTATTCATTAGAGGATCAATGATACTTGTGGAGAAAGATATAATTAAAGAGGTTAACGGAAAATACCTAGCTTTAATTATGAACCGTTTATGGAGGATTGATTCGTATGTAGTGACTATATCAATGGACAACACAAATTCCGTGAACATAATTATTTTTATTATTTTAAGAGTGCAATTCCAAATTTATAGTGGAGTAATTTAGAATTAATAATTTTGACATATTAATTAAGGTGTTAATTAATTATCAAAATTATTGGAGCTTAAAATTATAATGTTCATAGTTCCTCTCAATGGTTCCATAAGATTAATTCCGCGTCTTTCTCTCCCCCCTCTCGTATATATATATATATATATATATATATATATATATATAAAGAAAGGAAGCGTGCATGTGCACGTTTCCTAAAAAAAAAAGAAAAAAAAAGGAGTGGGAGGAAACGTGCTGTACCACGAGGAAATGGAGTAAACGTACGATTGCACATTTACTCAAAAACAGAATGAGATCTGTTTTTAAGTAAAGGAACGAAAAAAAAAGTTTTTTTTCCAGAGAATAGAAAGAAAGAAAAAGGAAAGAACGGGAGAACAAAAGAAAACCAAAGAAAATTTCTTGAGTGCCATCATATACTTTTGAGAAAAGTGAGTGATAACTATAGGTGGCTTCCCTATTCATCCATCTCATGTGTTGAGAGACCCATTAAAACGCCCACACATTCGAGTTTACGTTAATCCGGAGATACATTGAGAAAGAACCGTGGTGTTCTTGGAATTTAAGAGCTCAAGACGGTGTTGGAGGAGTTCAAGATTTTCGTCCTAATCGAACGACGGTCAAATCCTCATTCCTTTCTTTAATATCTTTGTAGTTAAATTGATATGAAATAATGATCGCATTAAATTTTAATTTATGTGATTCGATTGATACCACGCTTCCGCACAATTTTTTTTGAAAATCCAGTTTGAGAAACAAACAATTGGTATCAGAGCAGTTTTTATTTCATGTTAATTTAACGTTTAAATTATGTGATAATTCTTAGATGATTAAAGGGTAGGCACTTTTGCATATGATGTATAATTATTGTGTGATGGTTATGTTTTATGCGAATAGATTGGTCGTAAATTTTTCCGGTTCCATGGAATTAGTTTTTGCTATTTTATTTTGATTAGATCAATTGTAAAATAGGAATCAATATGTAATTTATTATTCTCTTAATGCAAGAGGATCATCATGGAAGAGTTTTAACTATTTCTTTTTGGAAAAGTTCCAAACTATCAAAAAAAAAAAAGGAGACATCAAGATGGAGAATTACAAGAAGACCTATTTTTGATGTAATTTTATTTTTATTATTATTTTGGGGTTGTAATTCTTAGGTCCATGGAACCCGGCCAAGTTTTTCCATTTCGCTTGCATGTTATTCATTTATTTATTATGTTTGATAATAATTATATTGTCATGCATCTAACATGCCATCTAGGATAAAAGTGCCTACTTAGTTTATATGTATGACATGCATCATGCGCATTAATTATATGTTTTAATTCTAAAATTATTTTAGTAAATTAAATTAATTAAATGCGTTAAATTGTTGAGGTTAATGAGATTAAATTCAAAGTTATTAAATTTAATAAGATTAAATTTAAAGTTGTTAAATTTAATGAGATTAAATTTAAATAAATTAGCAAATGGTTCTTGCAAAAATTTATATGAGTCATATGTGAAATTTATAAATTTAAATGTTAAATTTTAAAATTCACAAATGACTTAAAATAATTTTAAAGTTGTTTAAAATTATTTGGATCTTAGTGACTTAAATTGTTTAAATTCACTGAGAAGTATAAAGCAAGAGTTGTTTTATAAAATAAATACACCATTTGTAAATAATGAGTGGGAGCGGGTAATATGACAATATAAGCCATAGGTCTCCACTGTTAGTACAACCCGTGAGTAATTAATGAGGCCCCGAGACGCTTTGATTTCGTCCTCCCTACGAAGGGTATTCATTAATTATAATAACAAAGTTGACATCCAAAGAGATAGGATCTCTAAGATGTATTTTAGAATTGACCTACCCTACAGCGGCAACTTTTAAGTTAAGTCTAAAAGATCTGAAGCGGTGGGTTACACTCATAAAGAGATAATTAAATTGGTTAATTATTTTCTTGACCTAAATAAAAGGAAATTAATAAATATTAGAATTATAAGATATTTCAGATAGTATTTATTAATTGAGATAGTCTCATTTTAATTAGCAATTATTTGACCTACCCTACGGCGGCACTTAATTGTGGTGATTAAAATTCCTTAGGCAATTAAACATGTATTTGTGTATTTAACATGTGCATTTATGCATTATATTTATATGCCTTAAATTTAGTAGTGATATTTATGCAAAATGTTGATTGAGTTAAATTTCTTATTTTCAGCAAAAATGTCAAATCTTATTTTCGTACTTCTCACTTCCCAAATTTTGAATGGTGAAAACTTTGTCAAATGGAAAAGCAACATGAATATCCTCTTGATCTGTGAAAACTACCATTTTTTCCTTAAGGAGGATTGTCCTCCAGTGCCTCCAACCAATGCCGCTAGGGCTTTGACCGAGCGATATGATCGATGGATCAACGCCAACAACAAGGCCCGTTGTTACCTGTTAGCAGCAATGAATGAAGTACTGAGAACTCAGCATGAAGGCCTTGCGACTGCTAGAGAGATCATGGACACTCTTCAGAGGATGTTTGGACGTCCATCTGATTCAGCCTGACACGCTGCTGTCAAAGCCGTTATGAACGGCCGTATGAAGAATGGTTCTTCTGTATGTGAGCATGTGCTTAAGATGATTAATCATCTTAATGAGGCTGAAATTAATGGGTCTCAGATTGATGAGAAGACCCAGGTTGGCATGATACTGGAGACACTTTCTCCTGATTTCCTTCCATTCAGGACAAGTTATCTGATGAACCAAAAGAATGATAACTTAACTGAGCTCATGAAGGAGCTGCAACAATTTGAGTCCCTTATAGGTGATAAGGGAGGCAAGGCAAACGTTGCTGAAGCCAATGCAGCTGAGGGGAGGCCTTCTTCATCAAAGAATAAGAAGAAGAAGAATCAAGGGAACAATAAGGGAAAATGGAAGACGACGATCCAGAAGAACAAGCAGAACAAGGCTACTCCAAAGTCTAAGGGAAAGTGTTTCCACTGCAACCAGGACGGCCATTGGAAGAGGAACTGCAAAAAGTACCTTGATGAGCTGAAAGTGAAGAAGCAAGGTAAATCAGATTTACTGATCATGGAAACATGTTTAGTTGAGAATGACTTCTCTACCTGGATAGTTGATTCAGGGGCATCTAATCATGTTTGTACTTCTTTACAGATGTTGGAAACGTCCAGGGATATTAAAGAGGGATCTTTCCAGATGAGAGTGGGCAATGGGGCAAGGATCTCAGCGACGGCAGTAGGGACAGTGCGACTGTCTTTTGCAAATGATAAATATTTATTGTTAGACAATGTTTATTTTATTCAAATGTCAAATGGAATTTGCTTTCGGTTTCTAGATTGCATGAACAATTTGTTTCAGTTTCTTTTGATATTAACTCGGTATCTTTATCTAAGAATGGAATTCATATTTGTTCTGGTTTTGTTGATGATGGTCTTTACTTTGTTAAACCCATATTCAACGAAATGCTACAAACCGAAATGTTCAAAGTCGCTGAACCAACCCCTAAAAGAAGAAAGGTTTCTAACGAAAATGAAACGTACTTGTGGCATCTAAGGCTAGGTCATATAAACATAGATATGATTGAAAGACTAGCAAAGGATGGTCCTTTGAGAGAGCTAAAGGTTGGCACTCTACCGGTTTGTGAATCTTGTCTAGAAGGAAAAATGACCAAGAGGCCATTTTCAGCAA